ATTTATTGATGTAGATTTGTGGGGAAAGACAACCATTGGGATCCAATATTTTCAAGTTGTCAAATATGCCCATAACTTTATTCTTGACCTTCTAACTTTCTCTCACTACACTCATTATTACTGTTCCAATTATCATTCCCCTCTATAATGACTCCCATAAGAAACAAAAATACACCTTCCTGTATTTTCTCTTCATGGTTTGAGTTCTCCCCTCCATAGCTACACAAAAGAAAGTTCTGTAATCGAGCCCTCTTTCACATGTGTGTCAAACCTTGTGTACAGTCATCATGTACAAATTTCTCTTTTCCAGGTTAAATATTCTCAGCCCATTCAGTTATGTGATGTATCTATCACCATCCTAGTCACTCCTCTGGGACTGGCCAATGTCACTTAAATGCATGACATCAATACCGAACAGTGAGTCCAGAAATATCCTAATTAGTCCATTTATCTGGCTTGAAAAGCTTTGGAATTATCCTCAACCAGTCATCCTCTACACCAGGGGTCCCCAAACCCCAGGCCACGGACCGGTAGTGGTCCGTGCCTGTTAGGAGCTGGGCCAAATGGCAGGAGGTGAGTGGCAGGCAAGCAAGCAAAGCTTCATCTGTATTTACAGCCGCTCCCCATCGCTTGCATTACCACCTGAGCTCCGCCTTCTGTTAGATCAGCGGTAGCATTAGATTTTTATAGGACCGCGAACCCTACTGTGAACTGCGCATGTGAGGGATATAACTTGCGTGCTCCTTATGAGAATCTAATGCCTGATGATCCGAGGTGGAGCTGAGGGAGTGATGCTAGCGCTGGGGGATGGCTGCAAATACAGATTATCATTAACAGAGAGGTTTGACTGCACAGAGACCATAATAAATCAATTGCTTGCAGACTCATATCAAAACCCTATCAGTGAGTGGCAAGTGACAATTAAGCTGCATCTGGTGGCAGGCTTTATAGTGGCAAGTGAGTTGATGTACTTCAATTGTACAGCTGCATCTGCTGGCAGACTTTAAGTCAGAATAGGACACATTTTAGTCCGCGCATGGCCCGCCCATTATTTTGTTTACCACTTCCATCCGCGCCTCTTTCCCACACTGTACACTTGTCTCAGTCATGTTTTGGTAAGCCCACAAGCTAACCCTAGCCAAAATGAGTAAAAAACAAATGTCACTGGAGAGCTTCTTTGAAAAGGGGGAAAGACCCAATGATGGGACAGCAGAAGACTCTAAGACGCCAACAAAAAGAAAGCTGCATTTAAAAGAAAATACCAGGAGTCCTACTTAAATTATGGGTTCATTGCAACAGGTGATTCACATTCTCCAAGCCCACTTTGTATAATATGTGGCGACTGGCTATGCAGCGAAGCCATGAAACCTTCAAAACTGCTTTGCCAAATGAAGACCAAGCACCCTGCATTAAAAGACAAGCCTTTGGGGTTTTTCAAGAGAAAAAAATGTGAACACGAAGAACAGAAGCAATTATTGAAGGCCACCACTTCATCAAATGTGCCTACACTGAGAGATCATTCTTAGTGGCTAACTGCATTGCTAAAGCTGAGAAGTCTTTTACTATCGGTGAAGAGTTGATCCTGCCTGCTGCTAAGGACATTTGTTGTGAACTTTTAGGAGACCCTGCAGTTCGAAAGGTGGCACGTGTTCCTCTTTCAGCTAGCACCATAACTAGACGAATTGATGAAATAGCAGAGGATATTGAGGCACAATTGTTAGGGTTAATGAGTCACCGTGGTACCCAATCCAGGTTGACAGGTCTACTGATGTTGACAACAAGGCAATAATACTTGTTTTTGTGCAATATATTTTTCAGGAGGATGTGCATCAGGATATGTTATGTGCACTTTTGTTGCTAACCAACACCACAGCTGCAGAACTATTCAAGTCTTTGAATGATTACATATCAGGAAAACTGAATTGGTCATTTTGTGTTGGTATATGCACGGACGGAGCAGCTGCCATGACTGGATGGCTTTCTGGTTTCACTACCTGGGTCAAAGAGTTCGCTTCTGAATGTGAGTCTACGCACTGTGTCATCCATAGAGAAATGCTGGCTAGCTGAAAAATGTCACCTGGACTTAACAACGTTTTTCAGGATATGATTAAAATCATCAACCACATTAAAGTACATGCCCTTAACTCACGTCTCTTCATGTAGCTCTGTGAGGAGATGGATGCAGAGCACACACGTCTTCTCTTATACACAGAAGTGAGATGGCTCCTAAAGGTAGATCACTGGCCAGAGTTTTTGAGTTATGAGAGCTGCTCCAGAGATTTTTAGAAAAACAGTCACCACTGGCAGCACATTTCAGTGACACAGAATGGGTCGCAAAACTTGCTTACTTGTGTGACATATTCAACCTGCTCAGTGAACTCAATCTGTCACTTCAGGGGAGAACGACAACTGTGTTCAAGTCAGCAGATAAAGTGGCTGCATTCAAAGCCAAACTGGAATTAAGGGGGCAATGAGTGAACATTGGGATTTTTGACATTTAAACATTAGCAGAGATTTTGAAAGAGACTGAGCCAGGGCCTTCTTTCTCCCAGCTGGTGCATGATCATCTATCTCAGCTTTCAAAAGAGTTTGTGCATTACTTCCCAACTACAAAAGATCCCCGAACTGGGAAGGAATGGATCCGCGACCCATTTGTGAATAAGCCAGGTGAATCGACTTCATGCTAGAAGAGGATCAACTGCTTGAGATCGCAAATGACAGTGCCCTTAAAAGTATGTTTGAGACAACTTCAAATCTCCATGTGTTCTGGATTAAAGTCAAGGCCGAATATCCTGAGATTGCCACAAAAGCACTGAAAAGCCTGATTCCATTTCCAGCATCCTATCTTTGTGAAGCAGGGTTTTCTGCAGTGACAGCGACCAAAATGAGATTACGGAGTAGGCTGGACATAAGCAACACACTTCGGGTGTCACTGTCTCCCATTGCCCCCAGATGGGACCATCTAGTTGCAGGAAAACAAGCTCAGGGCTCCCACTGATTCTGCATTATGGTGAGTTGTATAATTATTTCATTATATATTACAATGTAATAATAATAGAAATAATGTGCACAATAAATGTAATGCTCTTTAATCGCCCCAAAACTGTCCCCCACCCCCCACCCTGGTCTGTGGAAAAACTGTCTTCCACGAAACAGTTCCCTGGTGCCAAAAAGGTTGGGGACCACTGCTCTACACAATGCTACCTTAAAATGTATCTACATCTCCCACCTCCATTCCTTTCTGGTTCAGGCTGTCATCACCCTAGGCCTGCATCCTGTGTCTGTTTTCCACTTACTTGCCTCCTGCTGCCAGACTTGTACTCCTTACACCATGATGCTATACATGGATCAGCAGACATTCATTGAGTATCTGTGATGAGCAGGTACTGTGCTCATGCTTCAGGGCATTGTTTATGAGTGGGGCAAAGCCCCTCCCTTAAACTATGGGGGAGAAAAGCACATTCTAGCATAGGCATCTCCAGGTTTATGGAGATGGCATTTGACTAAACTGTTAAGAATGTGTGGATTTCAAAGCAGAGTTCAATTGCATTCCAAAACCACCACAAGCTAGGAGGAGAGGCATGGATTAGATTCTTCCTCATATCCTTCCAAAAGAACCAACCCTGCTGACACTTGAGCTCAGACTTCTAGACTCCAGAACTGTGAGAAAATAAACTTCTGTTGCTTAAGTCACTCAGTTTGTAGTACTTTGTTACAGCAGCCCTAGGAAACTAATACAAGCAACCCAAATATCCATCAGCTGTATTTATTCAGTAAAACAGGTAAAGTATGGTATAGTCACACAATGGAATACTATACAGCAACAAAAATGAACTAACTACAACCACACTCAACAATACGAATAAACCTTACATATGTAAAGTTAAGCAAAAGTATCAGACTCAAAAAGAGTACATATAGTATGATTCCGTGTATGTAAAGTCAAAACTATAAATTAGCCCAAACTAATTTATGGTGTCAGGATTATGGTTACCCTTTCCGTGGGAGTAGAGACAAGAAGTGGGCCAAAGGGTTTTCTGGGGTTCTGGAAATATTCCATTTCTTAATATGTGTGCTTATGCATGGGTTTGTCTAGTTTATAAAAAAGCAAGGGGAAGGTCTGAGGGATCTAAGTGTACACTGATTTAGGGAACCCCTGAGCAGAGAAGAGGGGTCGAAGCTCTGGATGAGTGGCAGGATGTGTGGTACTAAGTGACCTTGAAAGGAAGATTAGAACTGGTAAACAATGGTCCTGAGAGCCATCATCCAGAGTCTGATAGGCAGCCCTGAAGAGGAGATAGTCACATTCCCCAAAGCGTTTCCGGAAACCAACACTAACAGCACATCTCAGTGGAACAAGACATTGCACAGAGAGCTCAGCCAGTAAGATCTTGTAGAGACAATTGGCAAGCAGGCCAGGAGTACCCCCAACCCCGGCAGTGCGACCCTGGATAGGTCATTAATTTGTGGGTGCCTCCTTGGCACAGCTGTGGCGAGGATTAAGATAATAGGTATGAAGTCTGGTCTCATTGTAAGAAGTCACTAACTTACTGACGGGACTGTTCGGGCGGGTGGCCCCCAAGGCCACACAGCGCCGGGCACCCGTATCCCCGGCTGTAGCACCTGCGGGGACCCCCTTTGGCGACCCAGCGGGCGCCTGTGAGCCGCAGGAACGCCATACAGGGCACCTGGACCCAGCCACTGGCTGCTGAGGCGGTGCACGTGGGTCAGCGCCTTTTCCTCTGATTGGGCTGGAAGAGACCCGGGGAGGGGACGTGGACAAAGGAGGAGGCAGGGACTGGTTAAGCCTGGGAAGAAGGCGGGGCCTTGACAAGGGAGGGAGGCGGAACCGGAGTCTCCCTAGGCTCCGCCTTTTAGCTCCGCCCCCTTACTGGGATTTCTGGCTTGGGCAGGCGAGGCTGAACCTTCAGTGGAGCCCTCTTACGTCTCCTAATCCTCCCAGCAACCGGTGACGCGGCCCTCATGAGGCCCACCACTGGCCAACCCAGGAGAGCAGGGCTGGAGCGTGACCCCCAATCCCGAGGCGCCTCCCAGCTCCCCCTACTCGGCGGCCCCGCGCTCCGCCAGCTCCTTCCCTCCCTTCCCCGCCCCAGTCCCGCAGTGCGGCAGGCTGGGGTCGGCGAGCCAGCTGAGTGGGAGCCGCGCGGTGTCCGAGGATCCAGTCGGCGACCGGTGAGGGGACCGAAGGGCCGGGAGGGAGGGTTAGCGCGGGGCAGTGGTCCCCAGCTTGCGCCCGGCTTCTTCCCTCCGCTCCGGGCGGCTAGCGTTTGCAGCCGTCGAGAACGACGCCCCGGCAACGAGTGACGCGGCGCCGCAGCGGAGCAAGCGATTGGCCGGCGCCCGCCCGCTGCTGCCTCGCGGCCTGCTCCTCCCAGGCCTTGCCCTCCGTATGTCCTCGCCAGTCCTCCCCTGGTGACCTTCGTGGCTGGCGGCCCCACGATGCGGACATCGCCAGGCTGAGTCAGTTTAAAAGGGCAGCGGCAGCCTCTGGACTCGGTCGATGTTAAACGCCCCCTACTCTCCACTACGTTTTTGGTGCCCTGTCTTGCCCTTCGCGTGGGCTGGCGCCAAGTGTGAAGAGCTGGGGTGGGCCCAGGGTGGGAAGTTTCGTGCAAGGAGAATCTGACCAGTAACTCGTGACGAAAACTGACTGATGCACCCGGGATTGGCTGCGCTGCGGGAGGGCCAGGGAAGGCGACCTGCTCCTGTGGGGCGTTCCTCATTCCTCGAATAGTTGTGCTCAGCTCCCGTTAAGTACTAGGCACCAAGTCTTAAAATGAGTAACCAATGTCACTACTTACTCTCGAAGCTGCCGGTGTGTGGGGAGGGTCTACAAAAGCCCCACACTGCTCTAGTCCTGTTAAGTAGGGTTCTTTTGGGGGGTGGGTCGGGGGGAAAAGACTTAAAAAAGGTCTTGTAGAACGTTTAGGATGCTTAGGTGGTAAGAGTCAGACCTCTTTTTCAGGGTTCCATAAAATTTACCTGGGGAGAGTAAATCCTAAAAACTCGGCAACTGCAGTTCTCAGACTTAACACCTTCCCTCTTTTCATAGGAAACATTATCGCAGCTTCCTTTACTGAGTTTTCTCAGGCAGGAGTGTTAGACACCCCACGTCCCCTGTCCAAGGTCACACAGCTGGTAATGGAAGACCCAGAATTTGGACGCTTGCCTCTCCAGTCTCCTACACAGGTTGCAGTTAAGGACTTAGTAAACCAAGCCAGAGTATTTGCAGTATATGCAGTGGATAGGGCTGTGGAGGATAAGATGACTAGAGAGACGCCCTCTCCTCCAGGAACCTAACGTTTGAAAGAATTGTATTCCAGATTAATACATCATTTAAAAAAAGTATTAGATGCCTTATGTATGCCCAACTTCTTGCTAGGCCTATAGGAAGAGTGCAAAGTACCATATAGTCCCTTCCTCATCCCAGTTCTGGGCTCCTCTGGCTCTTCTGGGCTGTAGTCTTGCCCATGTGTGAAAGGAACATAGAGAATAATCTATCCTACTATGTTCTCTCCCTGTTAACATACATACATTCTCCACACTTCCCAGATTTCACAGGAAAATCTTTGTGAAAAAACCTTGCAGAAGAATCTGTTTGGATCATGATCTGGCTTGGGTACTTGGAATGGGGAGGGAGCTGTCATTCCTGTTTCCACCAACTCCTTAAACATGTCAGACTGGATCCGAAGCTGGAAGGGGCAATGTCTTTTAAAGTACTGGACCTTGTTTCTGTTATGGGAAAAAGGGAAGTGAGGACTGGCCATTCTGGTGCTCTGGATTTCATACCCCATGCTCACCTAGAAAAGAGAACGAACCCTTTCCAGAGTAGATTGGGAATCACTGTTTTGGAGGAGTGAAGGTGCTCAGTAGGGCTTCTCTGAGGAGGGATTATTGGAGCAGAGCCCTGAATGAAGGAGGAGAAAGGGCTTTCAGGTAGAAAGAACTACAAGTGGAAAGGCCCCAAAGCAGGCTCCAGAGGGTCAGGGAAACTATTTCATCCATCCAGTTCCTCCCCCCTCCTCCTCCCAACAGTGAGAAGTGGGTTATTTGCTTCTAGATGGATGTAAATTTCAGCAGCCTCTAGGGGTGTCTCAGAGTCCTGGAGACTACATTGTCATTAGGGCTGGGCAACAGACTTTAGGACTGGGACCAGGGTGGGGGTTAAGTATATATAGAGAGGCCAGCAGAAGAATCTTCTCTCCCGAATGCAGCTACTGCTCCCCAAACCACTTCTTAGGCTGACCGTTTCCTTTCCTCTACCAGGACCGCAAAGGAATCCACCGCAGAGTACACAGAGTGAGCCCCGGTCCCATGGTGGTCCCTGGGGCCGCCAGGGGCTTCCTGCTGCACTGCTGCCAGCTGGCCAGGGCCAGGAGGGGTTGGGGACTATCGGGGAGAGCCCGAGACGGGCCTCCCGGCCTGCCATCCCCTTCCTGTCCCTGGACCCACCTGCCGTCCTTGTGGCTCTGGATGAGCTTGCACCACAGGGGAACCTCAAGTCACATAGGGGTAACCAGTAGTACCCACCTCAAAGGACTACTGGGAGGATGAAAGGGGTACATACACAGAAACATATGAGAGCCATTCCATATTGATGCTAGTAATAACTGGAGAGCAGCAGTGATAGGCTTTGCATGAGTTATAACGCCAAGTCCCAACCAGGTCTCCTAGATGGCAGTGCGGATATTCACTTTCCTGAAGAGCAGATGGGCCCTCTGGAGGGTATGGCCAGAGCCCCACATCTTAGGAGATGAGAAGAGTGGCTATCTTCTGGTTACTGAAGCTCTAAGGGTCAGGGCAGTTGGTGACCTCTTCCCATGCAGTCCCCTTCAGGGACTGTGAGGTGGGTCAGCCTCCCTTTGTACATTGTTCCAGGGTTTGGAAAGGCCATTTGGCAAACACTATCTAATAGAACGGAAATGTGAGCCACATTTGTAATCATCACTTTTCTTAAAAACAGGTGAAATAAATTTAAAAAATATATTTCATTTAACCCAATATATATAAAATATTATTTCAATATATAGTCAACATTAAACATTTTTAATGAGATATTTTGTATTCTTTTTTCATACTAAGTCTTTGAAGTTAGGAGTGTATTTGACCTATAGCACGTCTCACTTTGGACCAGCCACATTTCAAGTTTCAGTTGCCACATGTGGCTTGTGGCTACTGTAGCAGACAGCACAGCTGAGACAGCCCTCAGACCCACTCCTGCAGCCCAGACCAGTTTTATCCAACTCTGGCTTCAAGATGGAGGAATTGTGAGATGATCACTTGCCCCAGAAATGTTGGCCTGGCAGAAAAGATAACCAGGGAGGAAAATCTTTATACTGACTGAACAACACAACTCAGAAGAAAAAGAACTACACTTCTCTCACAGTAGATTGTTAGTAAATGTACTAAACCCTGATTAAGTCCAACACTCCTGTGAACAGTTAGATATGGCATGAAATGCCTGCAATATCTATTAAGAAACAAGTTTCGTGGTATACGAAACAAATTTATTGTGAATATTAATTTTTGCCATTAGCTTATCTTCTTAGTAATTGCCTTTTATTAATTACGTATAATAAGTTTGTAAGTATTAAATACTTGAAAGGTACTAAAATACTTTAAAGTATTGAACAATTAGGACTTTTCATCAATTCACACGTAATTACCCCCTTCCCTCTTTCGAAGCCTCCCTTGTACTTATTTTTTTCCAAAAATCAAAGAAATTTGGTGGTATAGCAACTTCAGAACTCAATCAGGGAAATGATGGTTAGGACAGTCTAGAAATTGTTCTTCTTTTGGCACAGTAATATTTTTTTTTTCTTTCAGATTTCTTCCCAAGCATAGACCCTTTCCTTCCAGGGCAAGCTCCAGCATGGGGTGAGGTACAGAAGAGATACTTGAAGGATACACCCTGGCACTCAAGCACAAAACCCGCACCCTTGACCAGGGTCTCTTATTCCATGTCTGTGATGGGGCAAAATGGTATCTTTGTTTATATGTCATTTATGTGTGTGTGTTTTCATTTGTGCATTTGTCTTTCCTTCCTTGGGCATGTGCCCTTGAAGGCAGTAGCCTGGCAGAGGGTGTAATCCCAGAAACTTGGCCTGAGAGGTGCCAGGGTCTCCAGAGACACTCAGGTGAGGGGGAATACTCACTAGGACATAAGCGTTGCTCTCTTTGCCATTTGGGATCAACCACTGACCCTTGAGAGAAGGTTGTATTCACACAAGGGCAAACATTCTTTTGAATTTGACCAGCTATAATTAGCAGCCCAAGCAAGTGCCTGGGCTGAAAACTGTCTCTGGAAGAACCAAGAAACTCCCTCTAAAGTCCGCTCTCAGGTCTGCAGAGGGGCTCTTGCCCCTGCTTACAGATTTTGTTTAAAACTCATCCTCTTTGAATAAGATGTCTAGGATTTAAAATACTCCAGACCACCCCCCCACAAAAAAAATAGTGTATGGGCTGGGGTAGGGTGGGGGGAGTGTCATAGATGAAACAAAATAGCAAAATGTAAATAGATGCTGAAGGTGAGTGAGTGATTTGTGGTACTATTCTTCTTAGTTTTTTATATTTGAAAATATCCATTTTAAAAATACTCTCTTCCAAGAAGTGTTTCCTTCTTTCTCTTCTACCTGCATCTGTCCCCTTTGCTCAGTTTAAATTCACATTGTCCCTCTTATTTTATCCTTCCTGCAGGGCACAGCACATCCTGCTCCAGAGGCACAGGGAGAGAACATGCTATATTCACCACTCCTTCCCGAGAAGGAGGGGAACAGAAGCTTCAGAGCCCACCCCTGCAGGTCTGTAGTTTTAAAGGCTTTTTTCAATTGACCCTATTTGCGTCCAAAAGATGAGGACCCCATCTATGGGGTGTTTTAACCACAGCTCTGGGTATTTGAGTTTCCATCTGCTAATAAGAAAATGACTGATGACTATTTTGTTTGCTTACTCTCACTGATCTGTTGGGTGACATGGCCTGTAACTTATAGTGACTATACCTGTCTCCCGTGTCCCACTGAACTGAACTGGGGACAGATCCATGGGTCTTGAGGGGAACAGTCAGTGATGAGGCCAGTCAGGTGAGGAGAGCAGCCCAATTTGTGCTCTAAATAGAGGGCACAGGAGGTTCTGTGCACCAATGCTGACCCTGCTCACAGAGAGCCACCTGGACCAACTTGTCAGAAGGATTCAGGGATACCACTTGAGATAAAGAAAATAGCAGTGCAGATTCCATCCCCATAAAGGGGCTTCTTTGCTACTCCAGGTTCTCAGATCCCTGGAGCTGGGGCAATGAGGAAAGTCTGCAGAATGTTTGCAAACAACATGAATGCCCTGAGAATTAGAAAGGATGTCCCTTCCTTCTCCCCAGCCTTCCCTAGAAATGGGAAAATCACTTCTTTGATAATGCCATCAACTTTTGATAATATTCTTTGTGAATTATCCATGCTTCCTTTTACCCCTTTCCTGGGTCCTGAGTTGCTTTCTCAAGGCCAGGCCACAGAACTTTGAGACTGTGTACTGATGTGGTATGATTGTATATCAGGTGCTGTCCAAAGCCAAGGAGCAATACTTTGGGTTTTCTCAGATACCTTCCCTTGCCCAGGTCCCAGCCGTCCCTGAGCCTTTTGCCCGGGCTGCTGCTGGATAGGTTTATGCTTCACCGCTTCCAACCCAGGCCTGGCTGGGTTCACACTGGTTACTCAGGAAACCCTGGGTCTTCAGAGGAAGGTGTTGATGTGGTTTAGGCCCAGGGGACTCTCCAGGCCAAGGTCCCTGGGCTAAGGTCATAAAACAAGCTGGACACTCTTCCTTCCCTCCCGAACAGTGTACTGGAGGAAAGCTCTCCTCTTGAGTCCCTACTGCCCTTCCTGGTGGCACAAGGACCCCTCCCCCCCCCATATTTCTAGGACTCCCATGGCTTTGCCTCCTCTTGGAGAATGGAACTCCAGAGATGGTCTAGCTGGGGAAGGTACAGAAAACAGGGAGCCTGTGCTTGCCCCTCCATTCCCCAAGGTGTAGCTGTCATAGATGTTGCTGGGGCTCACAGTGACCTTCTCCCTGCAGGGCTCACGGTACATGGTAAAGCTAGCTGCAGCCCACCTCTGAAACAGCCACAGCACCTGCTGTGAGAGAAGGAACCCCAGAATCCGCGGACCAGTTTTCCGGGCCTCCCTCTCTTCCCTCTGCTACCGTTCCCTTTCTAGGCCTTAAGAAAACTGAAAATAACTCTCAGCTGGAGGAGGTGGACTCCAGAGTGTGAGTGGCACGCTGCACCCTGAGGGCGCCCGGCCTGGCCCTCATCATGCTCGCTGCTGCCTCAGAGGCAGCAGCCGGCAGGCCTTATGGGTGCAGTGAGTGTGGAAAGAGCTTCCGCTACAGTTCGGTGCTGCTGCGGCATGAGCGCGCCCATGGTGGTGACAGCCGCTTCCGCTGTCTAGAGTGCGGCGAGCGCTGCGCACAGGCCGCAGACCTCCGTGCGCACCGACGCGCTCATGCGGGCCAGACGCTCTATATCTGCAATGAGTGTGGCCAGAGCTTCCATCACAGCGGCCGCCTTGACCTACACCAGAGCGCGCACAGGCGGCGCAGCCGCTCCTGCCGCTGCCGAGCTTGCGGCCGCTGCTTCCCACACCTCCCGGCTCTGCTGCTGCACAGGCGCCACTGGCACCCTCCTGAGCGGCCCCGCCGCTGTCCGCTGTGCCCTCGTGCCTTCCGCCAGAGCGCACTGCGCTTCCACCAGGCACGGGCACACCCGTGGGGGACACCGGCCGTGCCTGCTGACACGCTCCATCGCTGCACTCAGTGCCCGCGGGTCTTCCGCAGCGGTGCGGGACTTCGGAGCCATTTGCGTGTCCACGCGGCCAGGAGCCCTGGTGACTCCACACTTCGGCAGCCAGGCACTTCGGACGCACACCAATGTAGTATGTGTGGCAAGAGCTTTGGCAAGAGCTCCACACTAACGCGACACCTGCAGACGCACTCGGGTGAGAAACCTTTCAAATGCCCAGAGTGTGGCAAGGGCTTCTTGGAGAGCGCCACCCTGGTGCGCCATCAGCGCACGCACACGGGCGAGAAGCCCTACACCTGCAGCGACTGCGGGCGCCGCTTCAGTGAGAGCTCCACGCTGCTGCGCCATCGGCGCAGCCACCAGGGAGAGCGGCCACACGCATGCGCCACGTGTGGCAAGGGCTTCGGGCAGCGCTCCGACCTTGTGGTGCACCAGCGCATCCACACAGGCGAGAGGCCCTTCCCCTGTACCGAGTGTGGCCGCTGCTTCAGCGACCGCTCGGACCTCACAAAGCACAGGCGCACACACACAGGCGAGAAGCCCTACCGCTGTGAGTTGTGCGGCAAGCACTTCACGTGCGTGTCCAACCTCAACGTGCACCGGCGCAACCATGCTGGCCACAAGCCCCACAAGTGCCCTGAGTGTGGCAAAGCCTTCAGTGTGGGCTCCAAGCTGGCACTGCATCGCAAAACGCACCTGGGCGAGCGGCCGGCGGAATGTGCAGAGTGTGGCAAGTGTTTCAGCCACAGCCGCTCTCTGTCGCAGCACCAGCGGGCCCACACACGTGCTCGCGCCGCCGCAGCTACAGCTGCCGCTGCCACTGAGGCCAAGGCGGGCACTGCCCTCATCTTTGCTGGGCAAGCAGGACAGGAAAAGCCAGGGCTTTTTGTGTCTCAGTTGAGAAAGACTTGCTGAGAGTCTTCTCCAGAGTGGGCTAGATAAGCACTTTTATAGTGCCATAGGGATGGGTGGGACAACTCGCAGATGGAGTTCTGTGGAAAGACAGCGTGACATATTACCTTTCTCCATCTCTGTTGGTAACACTTCACCTGGCCTCTCGCTGCACCCCTACACCTGCTTCCCCTATCAGCTCTTTGCCTGTTCTCTGTCCGTCCTTCTCCCCCTCTGAGGTGTAGGTGCAGGGGGAACCTCCCAGACCCCACACGTGGGAGAGCGCCCAAGTATTGGTGTGTCCCATCCCTGCTGCTGTGCTCTCAGGTGTTTCCTGTTTTCCCATCAGCATCCTGTCTTCTCTTGTCCCATCTCCTTTTCCCATCTCCTTTTTCCAGCCTGAGTGTCCTCTACCTCTTCTTTCTAGATACTTTTGGTGTACTGCCTCTTCAGGTAATGACCACAGATGTGGCTGGAGTCACATCCCACAGGCCCTGTGGTTTTCTTGCCTTTCACTTGACTGTTAGTCTCTCTGCTGCTTTCTCCCTCAGCTTCTGAGAGATGGGAAATTTGCAGAGAGGTAGTGGGAAAGCTCACTTCACTGAAAGATATCTTCACGCCAGAAGCACCCAGAGAAGTGCTTTACACCATGTAAAGGTGGGCAGGAGCTCTCAGCGTGGCTGCCCACCTGTCCCATGGGACAGACCTGTTGGTGTACAGATCAAGGTGCCTCTCAGGACAGTGTTCTCCAGGTGGGGGACATCAACCCTGGGACCTGAGTCAAGACCACATGGGTCCACAAAGCTGGGCACTGCCAAGTGCAGTAAGAACACTATACACAAATTAAGCTTGCAGCCATGAGGAAACTGAGCTCCACAGAGGCCACAGTGCAGGGATGAAAATTCCCTGTAATTGGCCAGCGATTTTTTTGCTTGCAGGTGGTGAAATAAAGAATTATTTGAGTTCCAGATGCCAAGAGCTTCCTTTGTCAAACCTGAGGCTGCTGTATTTGCAGACTTCAGGAGTCACCCAAGAGACAGGCCCTTTCAAAATTCCAAGGTCTCTGGTCCCTTCCCAAGCTAGCTCAGCAATCTTGCACATATAGCCCCCTCATTTTTGCACTGGAAGGCAAGACTCTTTAGAGGCCCCTATACATTTGGTTCTCTTGGTTAGTGGAGAGTACAAATGTGGCCCAGGAACACATACCTCTAATCCTACTCCAGCCCAACCCTCTGGAATTACCTAGCGCCTTGCTTGAATGCAAGAGTGGAAGGAGTGCCAAAGCAAATTGGGAAAGAAAGCTGGGTCTTCAGGGTGGGTGCAGGTGGGGGTCTGCAGAGAGAAGAATAAGGCCTGCACTTAGGGTGCACTCAGGCACATTCCAGGAGAGCCTGCTTCCAAAGGAATCAAGATTCCTGTACCTCAGGTGCCAAAACACTCGCTCTGCTGCTCTGCTCACACACGTCCATGTAAAATACTGGGTTTATTCTGTCCTTTAGGAAGACTAAAGTAGCCTGGCTCCCCTAGAGCACAGTCTTGCCCCTGCCCTGCACTCCCCATCACCCTAGTCCCCAGGGACCAGTCATCTGGCCCTTCTTGCTCCTTTCCAGTCCCTGGCTCCCCAAATTCTGGAGAGTGCTCACTGCTAAGGGAGCAGTGTGGGAGCCTGAGGAGCCAGAGAGGGCCCGGATCCCTCGTCGGTCCCCAGGGATGCAGGGGCAGAGATGCTGGAACAGGACTCCAATGGACCAGCTAACTCTTGTGGGGCCAGGAGCAAGGCGGGGTGGCTTTTGCTGCGGTGAGCTGTGACACTGTCTGGCTTCTCGAAGCGCTTGCCGCAGAACTCACAGGGGAATCGCAAGGCAGCCACCGTCTCTGCATGCTTGCGCCGATGCCAATTCAGGGACGCCTTCTGGCGGCAGGTGAACCCGCAGATCTCACACCTGAGCCAGGGACAGCAGGGGGAAGAAACGGGCCTCAGCCCATCTTGACTTCCCCAGGGGTTCCTCCTCGTCCCAACTGCCCAGATGTTCTGCCAGCACCTCCCCATTTCCCCCCACCCCGGGCTCTCTTCCCCACACTCACTGCAGGGGTTTCTCTCCAGTGTGGATGCGCCGGTGGATGACCAAGTTGCTGCTGGTGCGGAAAGACCGGGCGCAGAACTCACAAATGTAGTCTCGGGTATCTGTGGGCACATGGGGGACAGCCCAGCATCCATCCCCAAGCTGAGGCCCTTCCTTGGTCCACCCCCACTGTCCCCCAAAGGAGTACTGTCCCTTTTCACCCTGCATATCTCACTCCTCCCACCACCCCCCAACAGTGCCGTGTGACCTGTCAGACGCCCTGTGGGTGTCAAGAGCCAATCCCCTCTCCTTTCTCCCTGAACCTGACCCCCTGCCAGCTCTAACAGCACCTGCCCATCGCCCATCTCCAGCAGTTCTCACAGGCCTGCTGTGGTTTTTCTTCTACACCTCCTGCAGCAGAGGAGGTAGCCTTGCTTTTCATGGCATCCTGTAGACCTCTGTACCACTGCTGCTCTGTAGACCCTGCCATCAGACCACACACACACCCCTACAGCCTTCATCCCCATCACGCTCCTGCACTCCACACAGCTCTGGCTCCAGGCCCTCTACTCAGCCATCACCACTGCTGTCAGTGTGTTTTCTACATGTCCAGCACTGTTCCCTGACCTTCACTGACCTGGCCGCCCCCCACAACCCTTCTCAGCCACCATTCCCAGGTCATGCCCCATCACTGCACCACCTTGAAATCACAATTTCAGACATCCCAGTTCCAGCCAGGGCCCCCTACCTTGTCCTGTTACAGTTATCCCACAGTTCCAGGCTGCCAGTCCAGCAGCCCACTGCCTTCCCACTGTCCCCCTCCCCTCTCTTTGCCCAGTTCATTTCCAGGGCATCTTTGTAGCCTTCCTCCACTCACACTACCAACTCACCTGTCCCTCTCTTCCTCAGCTGTGCCTGCTTGGTTAAAGCCCAACTCAGGATAAATACAACCCTTGGCCTGATCCAGGCCGGCACACGTACCCCAAGGGGGGCGGAAACACAACCTACAACACCCCACCCTCACCCCACTCTGAGCTCTACTTTCATACACAACTACAAGTGTCAAGCCTCACCCCCGCCGCACACACACAATGCCTCTGCATCTCCTTGGTCAGTTCACTCTCCCACTTTCTAGAGTTCAGAAGGGCATTTTCCACACGACCTCCTCTTTCTACCAACCTCACTCAGCAGTGACCTCGTTTTATAAGTCACCAAGAAGAGAGGAGCCAGGAGAGAAAGCCCACATCCTCCCCCCACCTAATCCACCAGCCAACTTGCTTCTGTGCCCATATATGTGAACAGTCCCTGCTTCCCTGTGGCTGCCCTCCAACTGTGCTCAGATACACCCCTCCTCAACGACTCAGGGTTGCTCAACCCACCCTGGCATCAGCAAGCCTTTCCTCTCTGTGGGATCATTCCCATCTCTGTGCTCAGGCTCACAGCCCTCCAACTTACACCTATTTCTCTGCTTGTCTTCACAGTAGAACTCCAAAGAGTTGTCCATACTTGCTGTATACACCTCCTTAGCTCGTCTCTGCTCTGAACCCAGTCCATTCTGGCTGTCATCTCCCTTGTCACATGCCATTTTGTCATCTGGTCAAGGATGGCTTCCCATCGCCCTGCCTGGTGGCCTGTGCGCATCCTCATCTCACTCAGCTCTGCAGCACCGGCACATCTCACCCCTCCCTCCTCCCTGGAGCACTTTCTCCACTTGGCTCCTCAGATACCGCTCTCTTCACCTGCCTCAACAGCACCTCTGTAGCTGCCCTTCCTACCTGCCCTGCTCAGACCTCTTCTCTACCTATGCTCACTCTCCCCCTGTAGGAACACTCCACCCATGGCTCTAAACACCACCCATATGCTCATGATGAACACTTTTTTCTTGCCCAACATCTCCCCTGAACACCAGATTCACATTTTCTGGGATACCTAAGTAGCATGTCCCCCAAAAAATGTCATGTCCCTTTCCTGAGGCCTGCTTCTCCCTCATTTTCAGGAAGTCACATCACCTTCTGCCCAGTTGGCTCAGGCTGGAACCCTCCAAGTCACCCCTGACTCCACAGTCCTACCCATGGACAATCTGTTCTTCCCACAGTAGCCCTGGCTCCATCTTCACTCTCTTGTCAGTCTCCAGCCACTTCTCATCAACTCGACTGTCTAGGTCACTATCACTGTGCACTGCACATTCCTGCTATCCCCTATTCTCCACATGGCAGCCACAATGCTCCTTTTAAAATCAGTTCTGTCCCTCCCTCCACCGCACTGGTGCCCATCACATTTGGCCAAGAGCCAAGCCAACCGATGGTGGTCTTGCAGGCCCCTACCACCTATCTGACCTCTTTTCCTTCCTTTCTAATCTCCTGGCCTCCTCTCCATTCCTGGAACATGCCCGCAGATGCCAGTCTAGGGTCCTCTCATGTGCTGCCTCTCATGTGGATGTGGCAAAGCCTCCATTCCTCCCTTCACTTAGGTCTTTGCTCAAAGCACCTTTCACAGCTCTTCGTAGCCCTTCACTAGAGTGGACATCTTAGGTGAGTACTGCCTGCTTTATTCACTGCTGTATCCCAGCACCTAGAACAGTTTCAAGCAGGGAGGATCTAAACACACAGAGAGTGCAGGATGAGTGTGTGAGCGAGAGTTATCCCAGAGCAGTGTGACAAGACCTGCAGATAGGAGGTGATTGGCCTCATGGGGGAGGTGAAGGGACTCACAGTGGGAGGGGAAGGGACCCACAGAGGGAGGGGAAGGGACCCACAGGGGGAGGTGAGGAGGCATTTCCACCACTCACCACTGTGCAGCTTCACATGCTCCTTCAGGTGTTTCTTAAAGTTGAAGGACTTCCCACAGGCCGGCTCTGGGCAGGAGAAGGACTTCTGGTGGATGTGCTGGTACTTCTTGTGGTGCTAGGGGAGGAAGCACATGGTTTCCTCAGGGCAACCACCAGAGCTGACCCAGCAGGCAGGCTCTTCTGCCCTCTCCCACAACAGTTCTCCTTGTCACCGCCAGCTCATATCATCCTGGCCAGTCCTCACCTATACATGAGCACCCCAATCCCATCCCTTCCTGACCCCAAACTCTGCCCTCACCCTATCCTGCCCTCGACTTCCATTATCTCACCTCTTTGTCACAACCTCACCTTGCAATGCCCAGGTCCCTGAAAAAAGTGCACTTCTGGTGACACTCTTGGTTCCCTAACTATGGATTTGCCATCTGCCAGGGATGGGAACACATATTTTGGTGGGTATGATTATTCTCCTTGATATCAATATCAATGTACAACAATATCACTCAGATGGCCTACTTTTTATTAATAGCTCACCATGGGATTATATCATTTTCTCCTAAATCTGCTTTGGAAGCACACACACACACACACACACACACACACTCCTTCTCAACCTGGAACACTTTTAAGGGTAGTGTATTCTTCAACCTTAACTCCCCAAGTATTTCTGGGAAATATTTCTCTTTTTATCTGGTCTAATTTCACATCCTGGCTCACTAAGTTGCATGCGCTTTCCCTTTCTCCATAATCCTATTTTCCCATAATTAAACTGCTGCTGGGGGCTACTTCAGTCTGCTCCATTAATAGACTCAAGTATGTCTGACCAGCCCTGCTGAATGTTCTTCTCAGAAGCCCAGGGCTTCACCACCACTTGGGGACCTTCCCCCTCTCCCAAATCCCATCCACCCAGGCTTCACCATCCCTCGGGTCTGGGTCCTCTCCCAGCCTCAGAACCCTGTGAGAGCTCTGGCTGAGTGTGGGGTGGGACTCCTCTCTCTGTGCCTCAAACCTCTCCTTCAGTGAGGCTGGGGACAGGTCTGTCCCCTAATCCTCCTGGAGTGAGGACCACCCACATGAGACAGCAGGGCGAGGCAGCCCGACGGAGTGAGGAACCCAGC